CTGTTTTCCAGCAAAGCGCTGATCGAAAAACTGGAATGACATAGTTATCGAGTTATCTAATGCATGTTTCATGCGCGATATTTATGCACCGTAGCCACGTTTTCGGCCACATTCGAACAGCTAGTGCCCTGGATCCTGATCAAGCAACGCCATCCGCGGCCGGAAATCTGACTGGGCGTTGCAATGGGGCATGAAGGCAACTCAGGAGTACAAGGATCAGGGTCAGCGTCACGCCAGCCGATTGGCCGGTGTCATCCCAGTCGATTGGTCGGTGTCATCTAAGCCGATTGGTCAGTGTCATCCCAGCCGATTGGTCAGTGTCACCCCAGCCGCCTCGTCGATGTCATCCCAGCCGATTAGTCAGTGTCATCCCACCCGATTGGTTGGTGTCATCCCAACCGCCTGATCAGTGTCATCCCAGCCGCCTGGTTAGTGTCATCCTAGCCGCACAGTCGGTGTTATTCCAGTCGTGTGGCCAGCGTCATTCCAGCCGCCTGATCAGTGTCATCCCAGCCGCCTGATCAGGGTCATCCCAGCATCCCGGCCGCCTGATCAGTGTTATCCCAGCCGCCTGATAAGTCATCCCAGCCGTGTCGTCAGCGTCATTCCAACCGTGTGGTCAATGCCACCCCAGCCGTGCGGCCCCTGGCCCATGCATGTGATCAGTTTCACTCCACCTGCGCGGCCAACATTCGCCAGCCGTATGATCGGCGTCATCCTGTCACGTGGCATATGTCACCCCCCACAGCGCCCATTCAGCGCCGCATCCCACACCGCCACGAGCGTTGACTGACAGCAGTGAGAGCCGCCAGTCGCCCCGCGGGTGACCGCCAGCACGCGCGGCGGGGTCGAACAGTGGCGGCGTCCATTGTCTGCTGCGTGTATGGGTTTGGATGGATGGCTGCCGTGTCGGGTCTCGCTTATGCACGAGGCGCCGGGCGATTGTCGCCCGACGCCTTCGGTGGTTCGCTGGAGCTGCGGGGAGCTCCGGCGGTACGGCAGGCGCTTCGGTTCACAGCTGCAAGCTTGCATGTCGTAGGAATGTGGAAACATCGCAGCACCACATCTATAGCATTGACAGCCTTTTAGGAAGAACATACATTTTACATTGACAGAACAATAGATAGCTGATAACAGCGGTAAACATACAAAATATACCTTGCAACGGAATTGTTAACATGCGTAGGGAAACGTCCTGGCAAATATTGAATTAACATTTTAACAGGCTTGTGTTTCGACAAGTCCGTAACAGCTTTCTAAAACAATCAGCTAGAGGCCTCAACTTTCCGTGACGCAGCTACCGAGACGTTCGGACATTGATCATCTGGGCGGTCAGATGCAGGCGTCGAAAAACAGCACATAATCACTTGGCATTTTTCCTTGACAATCGCAGGGTATGCTCCTACCAAACGTTGCAGGCTCCACGTCACCATGCTTGCTCCTCGCTCCTGATATGGCATCATAATCAGTCGCACAATGGTCTGCTTTACGCCTCAATGCGTCGATAAATGGAAACGAAGCTGCATAAAATCGCAACGCATAGCATCTTTGCAAAGCCGACTCATGACCCGGCTTTTGACTGCGTGAACAAGCGCATCTCCACCAAATGCCGACAGGGTCGGTATTGGTGCAGCATCAACGCGCTTTCTTCTTTAGCAGCATCCTTCAAGCCTTTCCGTACACGATTACGAACTTACGATTAGCTTAGATTAGAACCTTTCTGCAGCTGGTCATTAAGTTTTATGTTCCTGCAATGTCTGGTCACCGAGATATCAGCAGCCTTCCAAAGATAACAAATGTGGCAGGTTAACGGTCGGTGACGCATCCTTGGCATCACGTACATCGCACCGTCTTGTCTCGTGGTTCTAAAGATATTACTACATATCTAATGGGCGCTATCAACGACAGCTATGAAGTGGAATGAAATAAAATGACCCTTGTGAAGGTTATGTCATGTCAGACTACCAGTGACATAGCCGGGATTTCCTCGAGAGGGGACCAACCGGGAGTGTGAACGTACGCAGGTCTCACTTCGTCACTACAGTGGTTCTGTTTTCATTCGATGGATCACTTAAGATCCGCAATCTCATTTTGCTTCCTTGAAGGCCCACTTTCGAAAAATATTGGAACCTTTGGCCACAAGGATCTCCATCACTTCCAAGGTGATGGCCCCAAATGCCGTCCCCCTGGCCACGCCACTGCAAACTCCTGATGGGGATAAATATCGAGGTCGACATTAAATCGGAAACGGAGTCATCTTAACACAAACAAAAATAACTGCCATATGTCGATGCTGATTTCCCAGACATTCGAAATAGCATACATGTATATGTGTATCTATGAAACACATACACATATATGTATATATCCACAATTATATACAAATAGTGCCAAACTGACCGAGAATTTCGAGCTAGATTCGACAACAATTTTTCTGACACAGCCGCCAATCTGTCAGCGATCTATATCAGCTGACGGTCGGAACCCCAGCGTTACGTCACGTTACTTCATAGGTCAGGTCGGGTGTTAAGCTCTCCAGGTGGCAAGTCATTAACTTCCCGAATGGGAAGATGTCCACGCATCGATAAATTAGTTTCGGTGATGTGTTTTTTCTATGGCATATTTTGGTGGTCGGCCGCCAGCGGTAAACTGAGTCACAGTTCCATTTCAAGAAGCCGAAGTGGAACAGACGGCGCCTTGGAGTGGAATTTGAGTATAAATGACAAGTCTGCCTGATGAGATAGCCAGATATCTCGGAAGACAGGTTTGAGCCCCAGGTCATTAGCCCTGGTTATCTCATTTGTACGAATGCTGACATAAAACAATGATTAATTAATCATCGGCATATTAATATCCAACGACTAACAATTAATCCATCATACTAGTATCAGACCAGCAGGTGATATGTGTGTGAATGGCGACTGTGACTGTTCTTGTATTCATATGAGGGCGAAGTGACGACCGCGACGACCATGGCCATCGACCGTCGACGCGAAGTAAATCAGTTCGCTCACAACCGTCCAGAATCTGGTCATTGCTCTCAAAACTGTCAGCGGTTCATCACCCAAACACGTTCCTTGTATGCCGAAAAGTTTTGTTTTGGTTGGTTCAGGTCTGTTCTCCCCAAATAAGACTAGTGAAGTTTAGTTACATATGGTACCACACCAATGGTAAAGCTATTCTTGTCATACCTGCACTGTCATCGCCATGCGTTCTGCAGCGCGCTGAGACCTACACCAAGGGACCTGTTTGCACGACATATGCAAGGGCTGCATGCTAATCGCATCATTGCTAAAACATTCACCCGAAGTCTCTTAGGGGCTGGAATGAGGAATGGACTAATGGCATCTAGTGCGACATTTCGGTCGCCGTCCTTCCCAAGAGGTCACGAGAGATAGCTGCGAAAAACTTACTTGGATAAGTACCTGTACTGTGTTCCTCAAGCCACACGCGGGAAGCTGGAATGACGCTTTATTTCATGAAGCCCTCTATAGAAACGATACAAAGAGATCCGAGATTTTGCCATCTCGTTATTCGTTCAGAGCTACGGAGCAGGTCCCGTCCCCAATCCATTACGATGCACTTGGCCAGATTACCGCCCCATTACAACATGGGTCTGTGCTCGCGTATCTGGAGCACACTGAATATTATTTCCATTTCGGGCCCTGTGCGGCACCATTGCTTATGAAACCTCCACAATCTTGGCGTATAGTACCTCCTTACATCTCCATAACAAAGCAAGATCGCACCAGGCGCGGCAAAGCGTCAGCCTCCTCAGGGATGATAAACTTAGCTTTTTTCGATTTTATCAACATTTTATTACCGTACCATCTCCCACTTGCTGTATCTTATTCACGCTGGCTCTTTGAAGTGGTGGAATATAGACATTAACCTTCGGACCAAGCAGAACTTGTTGGTCAGACCATGAAGCACCAGCATTCGCAAATGTGGAGTGACGATGCTGCAGATGCTTGGTCCGAACACTATCCGGATCAAGTTGCTGAGAACGTCGCGACAGAGAACCCCACGGGTGAAAGCCTCCTCCTGCCAAGGCAAGTCCTTTTTATGATGCGGGATAAACTTTATAAATTGTTCCCCGATTCGCGTCCCCCATTTTCTCGCACACCGAGTGAGGTACAACCGACGGGCGCTGCGACAAGCCACGCTGCGATCTTCCCCAGCTCGTGCACAGACAGAGGCGTGGCCCCGCGCTCCGCATACCGCTGCTGAGCCAAACCGACCGCTGCGAGCCGGAGCGCCCGGCAGCTCGTTTCCCGTGACCATCAGCGCGGAAACCACACGATAGCGGGCATTTAATCACGGGTAAGGAATAATTGATTCAGTACAAACTGGCGACAGGATGGGCGCGTAATAATGTAATAGCAGCGTCTGCGCATCCAAGGACGCCCAACTGCAGTTTAATCGGACTGATCGCCCATAGGCGGAAGGCAATTGAGCACTTCTGATAACGGCGAGCACGCACGCAAGCTTGGAGCGACTGCAGTGCTGATACTGGCCGGGCGCCCCGCCAAACTGGCAGCCTCCTCGGGACAGCATTCTCCGTGCAGAAGGAAGGAACGGTTGTGCGGCCTGGGGCTGGACGATGTGCCCGGCGTGGCCACCAGACCCTCCTCAACGTTACCATTCGGTTTCGTACGCCGGGGGGAGGGGGCGGGGGAGGGCCCCAGGGCCCGATGTATTATGTTACTTTTACCAAAAATGGCTTACCGAAAGAAAGCTGAAAATCGATGTCGTGCATGCTCTATGGACTCCGATGCCCCTCCCCCATCAATCAAAAAAAATCCTGCCCGCGCCCCTGAACGCACAAAAACGCATCTGGTCGGGTATTGGGCATAAACACAAGTGGAAGCTGTCCCAAAAATCGACCACGAATCGCGAACTGCTCTGTCAACCTTTCAAAGATACAAATACGGCACTGAGATTAAGCGAACGCCGCCAAATATCACCACAAATATCAACAACGGATGGCGCGTACTTACCCAACCACACGACCGTCCCTCTGCGGGTGCCTTCGTACGCCGCGCCGGCACTACGCTCGCCGCTTACTTTGCGGATCCACGGGCCAGGCCCCGAATCCAGCGAGGACTACTCAAATAAAACTACACCCGTATCGTCTCTAACCGGTGGGAACGCTCCGAACTACACAGGCATCCCAGCCAGATGCACAAAAACGCTGCGTTGCTCGCCAGCATCAGTCAACTCGTCCCGGCTGCTCTGCCAGCTCTGTACAGATGTCCTGGTCCGGACAGAGGCCGCTGCACTCGCCCGCTCGTGGCTCGCGACGTACCACCGCAGCTGCCGCGGAGCTCCCGACCGCGCACCACGCCGCCCGCCGCCAGGCGCCGACTGCTGCCCAGCTGCGCGTGGCAGGCACGCCGGGGCGGCCGGGCGTGCCCGACGCGCCGATAGAGCCGATGCGCCGACTTCACTTGAGGTAATATCGACTCTAGTGAGTGGCGCGGGCATCGAGTGCTGGCCGGCGAGAAGATCTGAGGCGAGGTTTTGTTGATCAGTGGACAGCTTCGGCATGACGGAACGAACTGGACCAAGTGGGTGAAAGAAGACGGCATTTGATGTTGACGTGCCTGGCAATGCTAGACAAGAAATAGCGCGTCTACTTTTGTTCCTACGGCGCCCAACTTCGCTACTAAACGACACAAATGCACGACACGGTGCTGCAATGCCCGGGACAAATGCTAGTAAAACCTCTGATGCTTATCGAGAGCTTATTGATGTAGCGGGCCAATTTTATCTCACTTCACATATCCTCTAGAATGTCATCAAAACACGATTGATTCTTCGAAGTACGGAACAGCGCGTTTTTTTAGATGATACTTTGGGCGTTACAGATATTGTCGGAAAATTACCACTCTGTTTCTGATTTCTAGTGGTATGCGCTTTACTTTTCTATCATTGCCTTTGAATACCCATTACAAAAACGAGCAGCGAATAGGACGCCTGGAGGCGTGATGGCGGGAGCGCGACTGACCATGTTTAATGCCAGGCCGGCCGTCAATGCTTATGGCCGTTAGTGATGCTGTGTAAAAACAAGGCCAGCAATAGCATTGTGTCCATGAATCTTTGCCACCCACGTGACGTCACTAACATACAGCAATGCCACACAAATACCGTGGCATGTTGGTAAAGGCTAAAGCAAAATTTATATGGAAGGAGAAATCGACCAAGCCATGGCTTTCTTCTCATTTCACACAGCGTGCAAGCTGCAACTTTCTGATCTATTTTAGATGTCTGATGGACGTTGTATGATGAACTGGAATGTTTGATACAGACCTGTGTGCAGATACCGATATTGGAAAAGATGGCAAGAGCAAAGAGAACATAATACTAAATGAGGTAGATATGTTCAAAACAGATCTGATTTAAAACTAACTAAAATCATTAGTGTCCTTTATGAGACATGCCTTGTGCATGAAAAAAGGAAGTTGAAGTGCACCTCCCAATAGCAATGATCAGTATATATATATATATATATATATATATATATATATATATATATATATATATATATGCGTCTATATTAGTGGCCCACCCAAGTCCTGCTCAATAAAATCAGGCCAAGCTTTGAAAATTCTAAGTGTTGTTCTCAAGTTTTTATGAGATGTTTGCTAAAAGCTCTTCAATCTGTGCAGCTTGGTGTATTGGGTTGTCAAGCCCGCCATGGTTTTTGGTTGCGGAAGCCCTTTCTATAAAAATCAAAATAAGGCTCTTCATAATTGTATTGTGGATGGCAGCACATTCCGACTTTGGTATGTTTTAAAACTGAAGTAATAACAAAGAAAATGCATTGCTCATTTACACTAGCAGAACCTCAACAATAAAGACGACGAGGACCATGGAAGTTCAATGACCAATTTTTAACAACTAGTGACTACGTAATGACCAAGCAGTGGCCAAAGAAGGTAATTTAACAATATGCTGTTCTTTAAATAGCGACGTTGGAGAAACCCACTTCACTTCGAAATGCGTACAATACAAGATAAACATAGCTTTTTCTAACAAACGCTTTTGCCGATGATTCGAGGCGTAGCCGTTAAATGCTCGAAAGAAAAGCAAGACGGGAAAAAAGAGCAAGATCAGGCAGTGATCATGGACCTGAACGATTTGCAAAGAAGGTTCTCAGCCACGGAATTAGAGCATGACGCTTATCTTATTACAAACACTCAGAGTGAATTCGAAGAGCTTAGTAGGCCAAAGTGTAATACCTGATGCCAGGTCTAAAAAAGTAAAGCAAGAGCAAGGCGAGAGAAATGCGAAGTGTTATGTATCCTTAGAACAAGAAGTGAAACTCGAAAATAGAAGATCAAAACTTGATTCAGCCCTTGAAGCTCGGCAGACAAATCATAAAGTGACAACAAATATTGAAGGAATTCATAGCACACCTGTCAACAAAATGCCGCGAAAGAGAATATCAAAAAAGCTGCTCTACATATGTATCTAAAAACATTGCATCTCTGGTACGGGACCTAAGCCGTTTTTAGAACTCGAAGTCATGCACAGACTACAGGTCCATTCAGACAGAAAATCAGCGAATTTATTCATAAGAAGTTGGGGATTCGATATCAACATGCATGGCTGATGGCCGATGGTGCAAATGTGATTAGTGTCATGATGCGTGTTTACTTGAAATCGTTTGCATGTTTACGTAATGTATGCTCACTTGAAATAATTTGCATGCACGCGTGTTTTCCACCATTTTTCATCCTCAGTTAGGTATACAATAAATCGCATCAGCGGCTTACAAATGCTCCATGTTTAATCCTGGAATGATAGTGACCTATTGAAACTTGTTCGCGGTTTCAATAAAGGTTAAATAATTTAATTCTTTGAGTTTACTTCACTGAATTTGCATTACTAAGTCATGCGTTGATTTTGCCGCTTGTATCGTTTTTACCGAGGCTTACAGACAAAATATGTCTACATCTCTCTTTGTCTTCCAGTTATTCAACTAGGAATGAGTCCGATAGCACTGTTCCTATAAATGTGTATTGTTCAGTACAGTTGCGCCGAACCATTTAGAAAATGTTGTTTAGGAGCAGGTTTTGAAAGACGTTCATTATTCAACCAAAACGAGATAGAATCTTATGCAGACTGAGTTGGGGGCGTGTCCCCTCAGCCTTCTTCCCACTGGTTACGCCTGTTCTGCGCATAGAGTCGTAAATAGTGACGATGTTATGGTGATTCATGTGCAACATGACATTTTGTGTGTCACTTCCCAGAGTCAGTGTCCTGGAATGCTCACTTAAATTCATGGCTATTTTTTCAGGTCAACTGAACAGACAGCTGGCAGTAACGGCTGCGTAAGCAAACGCACGTAAGCGCATGCTTTTCCGCGAAAATCTTCAAGCGATAAACGCTAGCATGACGCCATTGCACACCGCACAATAACGCCACTGCAGAATTTGTGGTCGCTAAAATGCATCACCAGTGACAGCTGCGTGCAACCCACCCGTTCAGTGGTCGCAGCCAGCTTGATTTTCGCCGCTTTACAGCGCCATTAAAATTTTGATTTCAGACCAGACCGGTGTCCAATGGCATACTCAGGAGCGCATAAAGATGACGCCGACTGCCCACGATATTGGGTTTCCGACAGCACCGTCGTCGTAAACGCTGCAGCGGCTGCGTTAGGGCGGCGCGGCCCGTAAAAACGGAAATCTGACCTGACGGCTGCCGACTGCAGGTTACGGCCTCCTGACCTGACCATCTGGTCGGGAGACCGCCGGCCCGCGGTCGGTGTAGTCGCACTGGCCAGGGTAGAGCAGGGCTCGGTGGCGGGCCGGCAGCGCTTGCAGGTGCTGCAGCCGTTTTCACTGTGCATGGTTGGCGCTGGACCATTTGGTTCGGGTAGTCATCGCTCCATGGCCATGTCAGTACCGGGAGACATCGACAGTCCACCGTGGAGTTAAATGAATAAATATAAAGAAACGAACACAATGAATAACATATTTTGTCTCGCTGTCACGTGGAAACATCTAACGAGCGGTTCTCAGCGCGGTAGCAGCGTTGTTCCTTACAAGCACATTTATATTTTGTCTCGCTGTTATGCGGCAACATCCGACCAGTGGCGCTCGGCGCGATAGAAGTGCTGTGCTCTACTGACACATTCATATTTTGCCCCGCTGTTAACATATTTTGTCCCGCTGATATGTGGAAATATCAAACAGGCTGCTCTTGGCGCGGTAACAGCACTCTTCCTACGAGCATATCTATATTTTGTAGCGCTGTTAACATGTTTTGCTACGCTGTTATGTGAAAATATTCAACAAGTTGATCACAGCGCGGCAGCGAGCGCTACTCCCCAAGAGCATTCTGCGCCTTGGAAACTCCACATCGGTACCACTGTAGCTGTACCGACCGATCAATTCGGCATCATGCCGACTGGCTGTCAAGATGAAAATACATCCCGCTTGACCATCACCCAGCTGTTCCGCATGCGCCACGTGGCATGCGTCTCTGCCACCCGGGTCAAGTCGGCTGGCGCAGGACTAGCGGCGCCCGTCGCCGAGTCCACCCGTCGTGTCGACCCGTGGTGACATCTATCGGCGCCAGTTATACGCTCCGACGCTGGCTGTCGGGTCGCATCATGCCCAGCAGGTGCCCACTGTCACCAGGAAGTGGGGCGCCTGCGCCGGCGCTTCGTTCCAACAAGGCATTGTAGGGGGACGAGCGCACCTAGGCGAGTTTCCTGGCCACAATGGAAAGAGCGTCTAGCAAAGAGCAAAAGAGCAAAAGTCTATGCGAAGCTTGTACTATCCGAATTCGCGCAAAGGTGGCTAGTATTTCTTAGCGACGCCTTTCCCATCGTCGCTCCGCTTAATCACAAAAACTGCTCTCAGGTATAGCATTTCAAAACATTCATGTCTACCGTTCACTTGAAATGCTTCCCCATGAGCCGACCGCTCGCACGCAGTGTTCGCACAGGCGTGCGAACTATGCGAATATGTTGTAATCACGCGCCGGAACGCAACATCCTGAGGCGGACGAGATGATGAACATAGTATTTGTGTTATTCGATGGAGGCCCCAAGCGATACATTATATCTCGTTATGAACCAAGCGAGGAACAGTACTCCGGTTATGAACGCAAACAGCTGCTTATCTCACATATTCATTAAAACATATTCATTCGATTATAGGCATGGGTGGATTCAAGAAAGGGAACAAGCGGAGGTTTACCTTGCCTCAATATGCAGTAAATGTGTGTTTGAATCGTGTATGGATTGAAAATAAGGACGAAATGGTCACAATTTACCGGGAGCATACAGTATAACTGCGTGCA